ATATATATATCTCTCTGTGTGTGTGTGTGTGTGTGTTTGTATTTGTGTATCATACAAAGGCATATCGTTTATATTTTGTTTTTGTATTCTGAACGGGTTCGACACGATTGACTCACCTACACCTAACCAAGCTGTGTTGATGCATAGACTTGCGTACAGAACATTTTCGGCCCAGTTCGTTTGTTGTCGGTAAGGAAATCCTGTCAGCGGCCCACGAGCAGCGAATACGTGTTCGCACATTCCAATTGATACAGCCCCCAATAACGTTGCTATGAAAATAACTATGGTACATGGCATGAATAGATAGCATCTAATCATGAGTTGCCATAGTGATTGAAACAGCCACACTGATATCAGCAGAGGAATAAGCCGCTCTGCAAAGCGGAATCTGATGTCCAGGGTTATATTTGATACGCATGTGTGCACAACGTATACAGCCTGAAGTGTCCAAATAAATCCCCAAAGCATATATGCATAACTTGCAGGAGTTAACAATGTGAGGTGCTTGTTAGACACAGTCCTGTTAGTAGGTCCCACGGCCTGTGTATACACACTGATTGAAACCTGCATCGCAAAACCCGCTGCTAAGGCTACGCGAAGAGCCCTAACTTGAGCTATTCGGGACATATTGGCCCATACATTAGATATACTATTTTCCATAATTATAGGTTTAGGTATGATATTGCATATACACGATATATACTATTGTCCATAGTTATAGGTCTAGTTATGTTATTACATGTACTTGATTTATTTCTCTTTTAACTACACGATCTCTATACTGCTGGAAGTACAAATATGAAGGATTAGTCGCATCTTATGATAGCTCAGCTACATAGGAATTTGCCTTCAATCGCGAATTTAAGCCTGCATATGCCTTCAGGTAATCGATCGCGAAATTGCGAATGGCCCACACCTCACCAATTCAAAAAAATTATTACAAGTTCGTTGCCAAATCGCCATTGCCGCCTCTCAGCCCTCAACAATCCTCATCCAAAAATAGAAAAAATATGACAACCCCGTGAATCGTTGAGATATGAGAAGTAGAGTAGAGTGAGTTGAGACTTGAGACTTGAGACTTGAGACTTGGGACTTGAGACCTAACCTCATTACGTTTTCTCAGGTGCAAATTTGGAAAATTTTCATGGTCGATTTGCCCCCGATATACTTTAAAACGCTTAAACAACATACTTTTTGCATTTACGTTTAAGGTGTATCGCATATAGCCAAAACGTACTGAGACTAAAAATTAGAGATTTGTTATTTTTAGGGTTTAAACCCCATGGAGGTACGGGATAGAAGTTGAACATTAACGCATATTTATTCAATTTTAAACCGTTATAACGGTTTTAATGTGATCAGAAGGGCCTACCTAAGTTCCTTTATAGGACTGGTTCGTATCGTGAACATGATAAATACACACTTAATAAATATTTAGACCCGCAAGTTGTAAAAATTGGAGTTTTGGCCCTTGCAACTTGATTCCTCGACCTTTTGGCGTGCGCCGTGTGGACCTTTTTTTTAAAAGCAATTGGGATTCTGGGACTGGATTCACATATTTATGATTTTAGAATTTAGACTGTATCAATTTTTAGAAGGTTATGGAATGGATTTTAAAATTTAGAGCCTGGTGTAATAGCCGGGCATCCACATTAGACTCTATGTTATAAACGTACTCTTAAGCAGTATGTAAATTATAAACGTACTCTTAATAATACGAGGAACTTAAGTTTCCTAAATGGTTTTTAATGGTTTTATTAATTAATACCTTTTCCATTTTACATATCAGATATTTGGACGAGGCCATTAAAAGGCCCTAGTAAAATACCAAACATAAGAGTTGGTCTAGTTCTATTGATAGAACTATATTTATTTTCCAACTTTATTTATATCTGAATACTTCGGTAGCGAGATGGCTCACCCAAATATAGGTTTCTAGGAACTATTAACGTTACCTAGTTGATCCTCCGATCAGCCAACCAGATGTGCCAGTCTGATGCAGGCTAAGTCGGTAATTCTTGATAAGTGGCAGGTTATTGGTTAAGACAATAACTAAGGACATCAAGAGTATTTTTCCTTTTTTTTTTCTAAAGGTAGGATTTTATGAGTCTCTCAGATTCGCCCCAATGAAGCATACCATAGTTTCTAATAGAGCGACAACGAAACACAAAATAAAATCCCTTCGTCGGAAAACAGTACTGAGAGGATTATATATAGGCAATGTCTCAGCCTCACAATCCCTCAGAGTATTGCTGTTTTCACGAGGCATACCTAACTATACCAAAAGACACATTTCGTTAATTTACTCTAAGGCGTTAATATCGCCTTAATAGACCGAATCTTACACTGGCAGGAGTGGCAGCCGCAGGCGGCAGCTGGCTACTATTTATTCTCAGTAGAGTAGAGCCTACTTTATATAATTTTAAAACAATTTAAAAAATATTGAAGTCTACAATTTCCAAGTTTTAGAAATTAGAGTTTTAGACACAGAAGTCAGAATTCCGGACAACGGAGCTTTACTCTGACTTGATTGTTGGAGTAATTCATGACTCCTATGACATTATACATCATTATGTGCCCAATAGCATACATAGTATATTTTCCGATGAAGAATCAAATGCTTTCGAGTTTTACACAAATGCTTTCAAGATGCTTTCGACTGGCTGGTAAACAACAACAAAGAATTCTATATTATTCTCCAAACTATGTCAGAACAAGTGAATAACTGTCGAGACTCGGGAGTGGAGACTTGATGTGAGTCGAGAGATTCTCTAGACTACGAGAAATATATATGTGCTCTTGTACATGAGCTTAGGGTGGTTCTTAACGAGGAGTTTTCAATAAATCCGTTTAATTAAAGGTATTTTTCAACCAATGAGAACACATAGTTTTTGTTTTTCGAAAATTCATTAAACAACAAGGTGCTCAGAATTTGTTGTTAAAGGCTAACGAAAAACGAGAATACGTACCGTTAAAGTACGTTTGTCGACTGTGACGTAGAATAAGTAAAAACATTTCATTGGTAGAATGGAAAACCGCCCTTTTACAACTGTGGTGTCAAATGTTGTGTGTTTTCACTGTTTTGAGCGCTCAATTCAATTGTGCACACACACATATGAAGTTGTCGGTTATAGGTAGATCCACACTCAATTATCTATGGAAACAGTACAGAGGGAACATAGTCGAATACAAACATAAAACGAAGAACATGAAGGAATCATATTGCACAAGTGTTATTGACTCGCAAACTATACCATGTCGGCATCGCAACAGCAGGCTAATGCAGCATCGAACCCGAATAATATGGGGACGCAGCACACAGCATCGACTTCCTCAGGGATTGAAACCAATCCTATGTAGAATGCTAGCACACCGTCGTCGAATCAATCGATGGCGATCACTTCTCAAGCGTCTTCGAGCTCTTCAGGTACTTCATCGGATTCGCAAGGAGAGATAAATAGTGTAACGAGGCGCACACAGCAGCCAAATTATTCAGCATGGCCTCGTGAATCTGACAATGCATTTGCACGATTCTGTGCAAACATTACGGATGAGAAACACTACGACGGGATTGTATCACTAAAAGAGGATGATATACGAGCTATGCATGCCAATAAGGCTACCGGAGACAGTAACGTATTTTGGGTCGATGTAACTCAAGACTTTATGAATCCCGATTATGCATGGAACATGACAAACAAAATAATTCTAAGTGAAGGTGAAGCCGATACAAGCGATTCTGACAGTGATGACGATAAAGTTGACGATGCTATTCTGCGAGCACGAGTAGCTAGGCACGCTGACAAGTTAGCTGAACGGCGTAGAAAGAAGTCACAGTATCCAGCCTCTCCTCCACTCAAACATGTAGAAATAAGGCCTCCGGTCAGTCTAAAATATCAAAATCAATTGAGATAATACATTGGTTTTTATTTGTGTTTTAAATAATTTAATACAAGCTCTTTTTCCAATATTTCTAAAGTGTTCTAAATTCACTTTGATGGCTCCAATAGCCTGAGTATTTGGTATGACTCATCTACTTGGACCTATTTGAGACATTAGTAGGTGTAGGATATTATAAACTAAATTTTATAATCTCCGAACTACTACTTATAGATTTTGGTCCTCCCGCCAATCTCCAAAATCCAATAAGTCTTTTTCTTTTTTAACTTTTCAGTCAGTTAGGTTTTAGCAGTGGTAGCTTGTGTAAGAATGATCGGGACTGCCTCTTGTTAAGAGCCTAAATATCCTCGATCACACAGGGCGTGCCTCTAGCTGTTCTTTATTGAATAATTTTCACTAGAAGTACTAAGTGTTCATGACCACATGCCTAATTTGTAGATAGACATAATAACGTAAGTCGCGGTAATACATTAGCTGATATAATAA